CGCGCCCTACTCCAGAGCTTGGTACATATTTTCCTTGGGACTGCAATACTTCGCCGACCTCTTCCTCGTTCGGTAACCTCCCCCCCAATACCACATTCCTTACTCTGTTCGACTCCCTACCCAGCTAACAAGTATCCCGACCTGTGGCAAAATTCCAATCCAGCTGAGGAGTCCAAATTCACCTCGCATACATTGTTCCGGTCCCCACCTACCTCGATTCACATCTTCAAACTTGATCCTAACCTCCTTCTCAAACCAAGACCGGTACTACTCCATGATAAAGTGACACCGCCACCGCGCGCCGTGGACCGCCGGCAAATAGAACGGCCCCTGCTCCGCAAGCAAACTCTAACCATATCATGCATGCCTGGCTGTCGGCCCTCCTCCAGTAACCTGCTGGCGAAGATGAGAGTCTTGGCTTTGGCGTAAAATGCGCCCTTCTCACGTCGGTGAAAGCGAGATCTAGTCCTGTCTCGCGCTCTCTCCGTTAAATCCACCCCCCAATCGGCAGCCGCCATCGATAATAATGGCATGGGTCATAAATGGCGGGGTCGCAGCGAATATGCCTTTCCTTCTGAGATATCTTCAACTCGCTGCGCTACGAGAAATGAGTGATGGGCAGGGTCAGCGTCGCCGCGCTTCCGGCGCCAATCCATCTCGCGCCACTGGGCGCCGTCCTGGCGGCATTCCAAGGGGCCTCCTCCTTCGCCTTCCCATCAACCTCGCCCGCCCGACACTGCCGCGCCCCGTCCTCGCGAGCCTTCGATGCGAGCGCGAGATCAAAGTCACACCCACGCCATCGCTCCACGCGCAAGGCCCCCCATCTGCTCCAGGATGAAACAGATTTACTATTTCGTCGCAGCGGAGTTCGTCTGCCCTATGTCTCGCTCCAGAGGCACCTAAACCATCGCCCGCTCTCGCGCGCGCCGCAGCCCCGGAAACGGGATCGGGCGTCGCAGGTAGCTCGGCAAGCAAGGGGCGGGCGCGACGTCTCGAGATCCCCATTTACATCCCCCCCCCCCTTCCTCGCCCCGCGACGTCGCCGAGCCCCCGACCCCCGACGATCTCGCTGGCCCCCAGACAACGGGCAAACCCACGGGCGCGCGGCCTCCACGGTGGCCCTTGCCGCCCTGGCAACATTAAGCAGGCGGGGCCAAGTCTTTCCTGCCCCAAGAAAGCTCGCGAACTTCGCGATCGCCGACCAGATTCCAGTTCACCCCGTCGATCTCGAACTCGCGGCCACCCGGCCAAGCGGGCCCCCGGGCGTCGCCGCGCGCAAATTGCCCAAACAAATATCCGATCTCCTGGGCCCCCCCCCCCCCCCCCCCCCGCAAACTCCGCGCGCCAGCGACGCCCCCGACGCTGGACGCCGACGGCTTCGCCGACGGCGGCTGTCGGCCATGGCCCCGGAGGATTTCTCGACGCGCGAACCCCCCCGCCCACCCCGCCCCCCGCTCAACCGCGCGCCCCGAACCACAACGACACAAGTCCCCCTCACACGTCACATCGCACCCGCGCTTCAACATCCCTGGCGAGGGCGCCGCGCCCCAGCCGCGCGCCCCCGCGGGGCGCCCAAGTAGATGCGCAGCCTATCATTCCTCTGAGCCCCACGAAAACCACGCAACACAACGGCGTCGAATCCCACGTTCGAGCACACCCGCCACCTTCGCGGGCCCGAGCCCCCGAGCGCCAAAAAACTTGCACGCGGCGAAGAGCTGCGCGCAAGGGGCTGACTACAAGCAACAAAGCTGCCTAGGCTTTAAACGACGCCTGCGCCATCGCCCGCTTCGCATTGGAGTTGAAGCTTGAAGCCCGTAGGGTTTCCACGCTCGCCACGCGCGGTTAAATCCACTGCCAAACCTGGAACCACCCCCTGCCACACGGGCATCAGCTCGAACGCGAGAGCATGCATATGGGACGTGCACCCTGGGCCCAACAGCCAAACGACTACGTTCACGGTGAATCCCACGAGGTGGAGTCCAGCCCGAACCTCGCTCATCTCTTCATCCTCGCCCCCCCCGTTCGGTTGTGTTGGACTTTCCCGCCAGTCTGGAATGTCCGCCCATCTCGCCCAGCCGCCTCTTAACTCCTGGGCCCCTGCCAATCTCCCCGTCGCCATCCTCGACCTCGAAGCCAATCCGCCCAATCCATCCACCACCCCCAAAAGGATTGCCAACGTCTCCAGCGCGCCGCCCGCCCCCGCCCCTGGCCCAGTCGCCAGCGCGGCCGTGACTCGCCCCACTGGCGACTGCGATAATACGAACGGTTCTGGGCCACATGAACTCCCTCGCGCGAACTGGCGCCGGGCTTTCGCCGACCCCGATGGCCGGGCGAAACGAACGGCTGCGGGGAGCGCGGGGCCTTCGGATACCGACCCTTCCCCCGGCAGCCCATTCGCCCCGCAACCCCGGCCCAGCGCCCGCTGGCGGCGGACGATTTGGAGCTGAAGCAACCCTGCCACGCCCTTGCTCTCCATACTCTCCCTGACCCCCTCTCCTTCGATGGGCCCCTCGTCTGGGCCGCCGCTAACCTCGCCCGAATGTCGGGAATGCCCTGCCTGCGTAACCACGCGGCCACGGTCGCCATCTCCTCCGGCAACGGCCTTGCACCCGCAACAACCTGGCGCGACTCCCACGGCTAAGCATTCAAACTTCAGGCGGCAACACGACGCGCCACGACGCAGGCCGCGCATCGACTTGCCCCCACCTTCAACTGGGACCTCCACGGGCATCACAACCCACGCCCTCACCCCCACGCCCCGCGGGGTTAGGGTCGGGAAGCCACGGTAAACATGTCACCCAGCGTTCTTCGACGAAAGTCAAGTCTTCCCCCCACCCCCATTGGCGACGCAATTCATAAACTTAACTGATCTGAGATCAACGCCGACGACGAGCTCGCGGCCGCTTCTACTATTCCCGAGAACACTCCACTTCCGCACTGACTTTCTAACGTTCTAAAAAACATCACGTCTTCGCCAAACTCTGGTAACGCTTTGTCAGAAATGCGCCCCCTCGCTCTCTCGCGAGCCGCCGCGCCATCAGAGCCGATAGTAAACTTACGGTTTAACCATGAAGTGCAAGCTTCCGCCTACAGCGCGACAGCGCGGGCCCCCCCCCCCTCCACCCCACCCCCCACCACCACCACCACCGCCGCCGCCACCGCCGCCCCACCCCGCCCCTCCCCGCGAATTAGCGCGGCAATGGTCATCCGAAGCACGTCCCTCGCTTGCCCTGGAACGGCCTCGATGGCTCTTTCCACTCCACCATCTGCTCTAGAACCTCTTACAGGACTGGCGCAGCAACCCTCGGGGGCCCAGTCGGCGCCCCAAGGCTTGCTGGCGCAATTCGTAGTTACAATATACATGAGCTCCTTACTTGGAGCATATGCGCCGGACCTCTTCTTGCGAGCCAGAGTTCTACACTTGACATACCGTTTCGGGTCAAAGGCCAAGTAAAGCGCATCTGTGGTCTGAAAGCAATCCTGCTGCCAACCATCAAACCTGTTTCCCGCGTGCCTCGCGATTTTTCCACGTTCAGCAACCCTGAACCCTGAATGACACATCTAAAGCATCGCCCTTTCGAAATTTCCCGTTTTTCGACCAGAGCGCCCCGTTGCTCAATAGCGGTGGAGATGCAATCGAACCTGTTGGGCTTCTCGGGATGCATGGCCAGGTTCATCTTGCGACATTGAGCCTGTCCTGTACTCATCGAGCACCACTTGAAAAATAGCCTGACAAGCCATGGGTATATTTCCCCTCGTGCGAATCCTTAAAACTTGCCTCTGGGTTCCACTCCTTCCAGCTTGTATTTTACCATACACCATAAGTTCTCATCCAACTGCCCCCCCCCCCCCTCCCCCCCCCATTTCCTCATCGCAGATATCGCACTCACCCTTCGCATCGTTCTCAGCCTGTTGTGCTTGGAGGGCCTCCTGAGCGTCAATTCTCAGTTCATGATGCCCACGAAATCACCCCCCCCCCCCCTTCCTTACGTAAAGTGCCGCCCATGGTCTACAACTTGTTGTTGACGATGTGCAACGCTTTCAGGTGATCTGTTTTGACGTAGGCCAATGTTTGTTCAAACTTTTCGTTCCACGCACGGAACTGGCGCGGTCGCCGTTGATTTTTTGAGTTGGTGCAGTGCTCTGTATTCGCTCACTGGTGCGCGGGGCGATGCTCCGCATTTGCGCTTTATTTCAATTGCCTCGCCGATCTCGGTAATGTTCTCGACCATCGACTGCGCGATGCAGGACTGGGCCTCCATGGGCCCACATCCAGTGACAAGACTTCGGGCGTCCTCCTCTATTTTCGTGTTCTGGCAGATAATGCTTAGGAGCAGGCCGCTGGTTCCTGCAACCATCAACAGCATTTCGCAAGACTCCCGCCCAGTGACTTGCCGCACCCCCTGAGCTGCCCGATTTCCGAAAATCTGCGTCGCACCCTCATGGTTAGACCCGCCGTCCTCGTCAGCGTCTTCGCACAGCTCGGTAAAGCTTACAGGACCCAAATGATAGCAAGCTTCTGGATCTTCAGGTAACGTCAATGACACGGGTGGATCTCCGGATCCAGCGCGAGGTGCCCCCGTGGCGGCTGCGGCTGCCGCCATCACTCGGAACGAGCAGGTAACTTATACCAAGTCTTCTACCATGCAATGCCGCAGGAGTTACACAGTAACGATAGGTATGATGTAAGGCCTATTTAACACTGTGTCACAAGATTTCACTATCAGTACTAGACAAAACAGGTGCAGCCAATATGTCCTCGGGTCAGCAATTCTGAGTGGGAGTTTCCTCCATGCGTGGGGGTGGACATTGTAGCACCTCCTCTTTCTACTACTCCCCCTCATCAAGCTGCGACGCCACCATCAACGCCGCCACCGCCATCAACGCCGCCGACGACGAATCCGACTCCCATTCCGACGGCGACGATTCCCACAACGCCGACGAAGACGGCGACGACGACGACGACGCACGGCTTCAGGTGCCTCCCTCCCCATAGAGTCCGCGTCGAGCCGCTCGCGCTCGCCCGCGCCCTGGTGGGCACCGCAGTCGGTGAGGACGGGGTCGTCCTCCGGCACCTCCTCGTCCTCCTCCTCCTCGTCCTCCTCCTCCTCCTCCTCCTCCTCCTCTTCCTCGTCCTCCTCCTCCTCCTCCTCCTCCTCCTCCTCCTCCTCCTCCTCCTCCTCTTTCGTCCTCCTCCTCCTCCTCAGCTCCTCCTCCTCCTCTTCCTCTTCTTCCTCCCCTCCTCCTCCTCCGCTCCGCCTCCTCCTCTTCGTCCTCCTCCTCCTCGTCCTCCTCCTCCTCCTCCTCCTCATCCTCCTCTTCTCCTCCTCTCGTCCTCCTCCTTCTCCTCCTCCTCGTCACCATCATCTCATCATCATCATCACATCATCATCATCCTCATCATCATCATCATCACATCATCATCACATCATCAGCAGCAGCAGCAATCAGCATCATCATCATCACCATCACCATCACCATCACCATCATCATCCATCAGCATCAGCATCAGCATCATCATCATCATCATCATCATCATCATCATCATCATCATCATCATCATCATCATCATCATCATGATCAGCATCATCATCATCGTCATCATCACCATCACCATCAGCATCATCATCAGCATCAGCATCAGCATCACCATCAGCACCAGCATAATCAGCATCCCCATCACAACCAGCATCAGCATCAAAAGCAGCAGCATCATCAGCATCATCATCAGCATCATCATTTTAATCATGTTCATCGTATTCATCAGCATCACCATCATCAGCAGCATCCTCATCCGCATCCTCATCCTCATCCTCATCATCAGCATCATCCTCATCATCAGAATCATCGTCATCATCTTCGTCATCGGCATCGTCATCAACACCATCATCAGCAGCAGCATCATCATCATGATCATCATCAGCATCATCATCAGCGTCAGCATCAGCATCATCATCATCAGTGTCATCATCATCATAATCATAATCAGCATCAGCATCATCATCACATGCAGCATCAGCACCACCACCATCACCATCACCACCAGAATCATCATCATCATCACCATCATCAGCATCACCACCAACATCATCATCGTCATCATCACTATCGTCATAATCATCAGCAGCGGCATCAACAGCATCATCATCAGCATCATCATCATCATCATCATCAGCATCATCATCATCATCATCACAAACAGCAGCATCAGCATCATAATCATCACCATCAGCATCATCCAGCAGCAGCACCAACAGCCTCAGCAGCGGCATCATCATCAAACAATCACAAGCATCATCATCAGCATCACCGTCAGTATCATCAGTGTCATCAGTATCATCAGCAGCAACAACATCAGCATCAGCATCGTCATCTGCCTCATCATCGTCATCATCCTCTTCCGCAGAACAGCACCACCACCATCAACAACAACAACCACAACATCAACATCATCATCAACAGCAACATCAGCATCAGCATCGGCATCAACAACAACATCCTCCTCCTGCTCTTTCTCCTCCGCCTCCGCCTCCTCCTCCCCCTCCTCATCCTCCTCCTCATCCTCCTCCTCCTCTTCCTCCTCCTCCTCCTCCTCATCATCATCTTCCTCCTCCTCCTCTTCTCCCTGCTCCTCCTCCTCCTCCTCCTCCTCATCCTCCTCCTCCGCCTCCTCCGCCTCCTCCGCCTCATCTCCTCCTCCCTCCTCGTCCTTGTCCTCCTCCTCCCCCCTCTCATCCTCTTCCTCCTCCTCCTTCTTCTCATCTTCATGCTCCCCCTTCTCCTCCTCCGCCTCCTCCTCCTCCTCCTCCCCCTCCTCCTCCCCCATCCACATCCCCATCCCACTCCTCCGCATCCTCCTCATCCATCTCTACCTCATCCTCCTCCTCCTCCTCCTCCTCATGATCATCATCATCCTCTTTGTCTTAGCCTTCCTATTACTATGATTAATCGTCTTCAGAAACTTGGGATTATTATCATCATAATCGGCATCATCGGCTTCATCAGCAACAGTATCAGCATCGTTATTATCAGCAGCGTCATCGTCAGCATCATAATCATCGACATCATCATCATCATCAGCATCATCATCATCATCATCATCATCATCATCATCATCATCATCAGCATCAGCATCAGCATCATCATCAGCATCATCATCATCATCATCATCATCATCACCATCATCATCATCATCATCGACATCCTCATTATCATCAGCATCATCATAGTCATCACCATCAGCAACATCAAAGTCATCATTATCGTCGTCATCATCATCGTCGTCGTCAGCATCATCAGCATCAGCGTCAGCCTCATCATCATGACTATTCGTATTCTTCTTGCTTTAATAGTATGATTCGTACTCTGATTTAGTGTACTGTTCGTATGATTATTCGCATTCGTCGCAGTATCAATATTACGTTGTTACGATGATGCGTACGAGTCGTCTTCATGTTGCTAGTATTGCCCTTAGTTAAATAAATAGTATGATCGCTGGCATTCGTATTGATATGGTATTCACATGGTGTTTAGCATTATTCTAGGTATTATTAGTAGCCTTAGTAGGATGACTCGTATTAATGTTCGCGTTCGTATTAGCATTACTAGTATGCGTCTTATGGTTCGTGTTATTCTTCATTCCTTAATATTAGCTCTAGTGTGTCGTCTTGAGATGATTGTAGTATGCTGTCTATGATGGTTGTTCACAGTTGCTATTATTATTAGTCGTATCATTCATGTTCCTCTTCTTGTTAGTCTGTTTCATCCGCTTCGTAGTATGATGAATGATCATTTTCGTAATAATATTATTAATATTGTTTTTTATAAGGTGTTTTGAATATTAGTACTGGAATTATGATGTTTCTTCTTATTGCTAATAGTAGTCTTAGTATGCGTCTTCGTCTTATGCGTATTGTTCCCGGTTATATAAGCATGGCTATTAGTAAGATTCGGAGTCCTCCTTCTCCTCCTCCTCCTGATCCTCCTCCTCCTCCTCCTCGCCATCATCAGCATCATCATCCTCACCAGCATCGTCATCATCATCAGCATCATCAGCATCATCATCACCAACATCAGCATCAGCAGCATCATCATCATGCTCGTCATCCTTATCATCATCAGGAGCAGCATCAGCATCAGCATCAGCATCAGCAACATCATGGTACTACTAAGAATCATCATCAGCAGCGGCAGCAGCATCAGCATCATCAGCAGCATCATTTGCAGCATCATCATCATCAGCAGCGGCAACAGCAGCAGCATTAGCATCAGCATCATCATCACCACCGCCATCAACATCAACATCATCATCAGCATCATCATCAACATCATCAGCAGCATCAGCATCCTCATATATACCATCATCATCAGCATCGTCGTCATCGCAATCATCATCGGCATCATCGCCATCCTCATCAGTATCAGAATCATCATCGTCAGCATCGTCATCATGAGCAGCATCATCATCCTCATCATCATCATCATCATCATCATCAACAGCATCAGCGTCATCATCATCATCATCATCATCATCATCATCATCATCATCATCATCATCATCATCATCAACAGCATCAGCATCATCATCGTCGTAACCCTTTCACTTATAACTCCTCGCTCCTTCTCGGTCCCCTCCTCGGCCTCACTTCTGCTCCTCACCATCCAAACTCCTCATCCTCACTCCCGCCACCACCACCACCACCACCACCACTACCACCACCACCGCCACCACCACCACCGCCACCACCACCACCGCACACACACACACACACACCTCCTCCCCCTCCTCCTCCCCCGACACACACACACACAGACACACGCACACTCACGCACACCCACGCACACGCACACACACACACAGCTGGGGGTCCGTCCTCTGACCAGCTGATGTTGTACCTGAACGCGACGTTGGCGCACGACTGCATATGCCGGGCCCAGTAGATGACCTGGGGGGAGCGACCTCGAGATTCGTTTCTTCTGTTTGCCCTCCTCACCATCATGCTATAACCTTTTCATCCCCTCCTCCTCCTCCTCCTCCTCCTCCTCCTCCTCCTCCTCCCCCCTTCGGTGCTCCCGACTTCCGAGGCCATGGGACTGTGGCGTATGCGGTCTGTCACACGAGTCGTTCAGGCTTTCGCGCCTCAGGGTCTCCTCCTATTGTTTCCTCCCCCTCCTCCTCCTCACTAGCCTCGTCCGCTTCTTCAGCATCGTTACGCCGATGGGGAATTTGTAGACGATACCTTCGCGATCTGAGGATATCTTTGAGAATTGCCAATTGACAAGAAAAACCATCAAGAATGGTCCTCTTAGTTCCAGCCCATTATCAGCAGGCGTGGGTTTGGAATTTCGAGGGCCATGACCAGGGGGATTTGGGGAGCTTTTCCGATTTCCTGAAGGCACATTGGTACTGAGGGTGCGCACTCTTCCACGGCCTGCGGAAGCTCAGTCCTGCTAAGGTTTGCTCAACATTGCTAGTCCCTGGCAAACCCTGGCAAGCCCCTAAGTCTGGATAGGCCGTATCCATGCCCTTGCTCAAACATGGTGAACTCTGCTCAGTCTTGCTAAGCCTTGGTAAGCCTGGATGAGACTTACTGAGCCCTGCTATGGACTCGCCAGCTCTGCTCAGCCCTGCTAAGCCTTGCTGAGCCTTGCTGAGCCTTGCTGAGCCTTGCTCGGCTCGGCTTCGGCAAGCTTTGCTCAGCCCTCCTAATCCTGTTGCAGCCTTAAGCCCTGCTGGGCTTTGCTGAGCCCTGCTGGGCCCTGCTAATACTTCATAAGTCCTGCTAGGCGTTGGCAAGCCCGGCTAAGCTTTGGTAGGCCCTGCTAAACCCGACTGAGGTCGACCAGCCACTGCTGAGTCCTGGCAAGCTCTGCAAAGCCATGTTGAGTCCTGGCACGCCCTGGTGAGCCCTGGTGCCCTGCTTGGATTTGCTAAGCACTCCCAGGCTTGGCAAGCATTGCTAAACCTTGCTCAGCCTTGGCAAACCCTGTTAAGCCCTGCTAAGTCATGCCGAGCCTTGCTCAGCCTTGCAAAGCTAGCGTTCAGCCCTGCTAAACGTTGCCGAGCCTTCCTCAGCCTTGGCACGCTTTGATCCGACCTGCTAATCCTTGTACAGCGTTAAGTCGTCCTGCTGGGCTTTGCTGAGCCCTGTGGGCCCTGCTAAGACTTGGCAAAACGCGCGGAACCTCGGCAAGCCCTGCTGAGACCTGGTAAAACTGCTGAGCCCGACAGGGGCCTGCCAGCCACTGCCAAGCCCTGGCAAGCTCTGCAAAGGCATGCGAAGTCCTGGTACGCCATGCGGAGCCCTGGTATGTGTTGACATACCCTGGCAAGCTCTGGTTAGCCCTGATAATGTTGGTAAACATTGCGAAACCAGCTAAGCTTGGCAAGTCTTGTTAACACCTGCGAAGCCTTGCTGAGCCTTGCTCAGCCTTGGCAAGCTTTGCTACGTCCTGCTGCTAATTACGAAGCTTAACGCCCTGCTGAGCTTTGCTGAGCCCTCCGAAGCCTTGCAGAGTCCCAGTAAGCCTTGCGAAGCCATCGTAAGCACTGGATTTGTCTCAGGCCTTCGCAAGCCTTGTAAAGCCCTACTGGGCCTGCTAAGCACGGCGATGCCCTGGCACGCTCTGCGAAGTCCTGCTAAGTCCTGCTAAAGTCCTGGTGCGCCATGCTGAGCACTGCCAGCCACTGCTAAGCCTTGGCATGCCCTGCAAAGCCCTGCTAAGTCCGTGTACGCCCTGCTGGACCCTGGCAACCTTTGCCCAACCCTGCGAAGCTCTGTCAAGCCTTGCTGAATCCTGGTAAACCCTGCTGGTAGACCCTTAAGCCTGGATCAAGTTTGCCACGCTCTGCTAAACCCTGGTGAGTTATGCTATGTGTGCTATCCTTGGTGGAAACAACAAGTGTGGTAATTAGTCATAAGGGTGCTTGGATCAAAGGAACCTTTGGCGATAGTTAGTGAGGAGGAGGCTTTGGCGATAGTGTTCTGGGCAAGCATTCGGCGCAAGGATGCCTGTATCAAGTAATCCTTGGTAAAGGACCCGTCGGGTGAATAATCCTTAGTGAGATGCCTGTAACAGAAACCACTCAGAAAGACTCCTTGCGACAACAAGTTGAGCACCCTGGAATAGGGAGGAGAAGGGGGGTGGTGGAGCGAGGAGGGAGGAGGAGGGAAGAGGGCTTGGAGTGGGGGGCGCGGTAGAGGGAGGGGGAGGTGGTAGAGGGAGCAGGGAGGAAGGAGAGGAAGTGGTGTGGGCTGAATGCTTCCTCTTCCCGCCCTCCCCTCCCGAAAAAAAACGGGGCGGACATCCAGATTTTCCTGGGTGGCGGGAATCGGACAAATCACCCAGGAGTAGGGACAGGAGGGAGATTGGGTGGTGGTGTTCGCGTGTCTGTGTGGGCGGGATGTTTCCTCTTCCCGCCCCCCGCACCCCCAAAAGAGCGAGAACAAGAAACAGCAACATTAAAAACGAGGCGGACGTCCAGATTTGTTGTGCTTGCTTGTTTGTGGGGGAAGACGAACATCTCACACACACACACACACATACACACACATACACACACATACACACACACACACACACGCGCGCGCGTGCGCGCGCTCACGCACACACACACACACACCATCCACACACACACACACGCACACACACACACACAACCCACACACACAAGAAAAGAAAATAGAGATAATCAGAAAGCAAAGAAGAGTGAAAAAAGGATTCAACTGACCGCATACTCCACCATCCCCTGTCCTCCGAACTCCATCTGTTCATTCATCACCCCCCGTGCACCTACCCCAGCATTCCTCGTCTCGTTTCTCCTCCCTTTCTCTTCCTCCTCCTCCTCCTCCTCCTCCTCCTCCTCCCTCCCCTGGCTCCCCTACATCCTCATAATCTCTCCTCATCCTGCTTCGAACCGGTAACCAGTGCTACGACTACCACCAACCACCAACACCACCACCACTACCATTAACCCCACCAACACTATCACTACGACGACGACGACGACGACGACGACGACGCGTTCCACTACTATCACTACCACGACCACTACTGATCAAAATAATGTTTGCCAACGTGAGCCCCAGACAATTGCCGGCCCAACGGGCCAAGGGTGTGCCAAGATCTCTGGCAACTGGTTAACAATATTTCTAGTTCGCGTGGGGCCGCCCCTAGGGGTCCCCGGACGAAAATGACCCATGCAAAGTCCCTGGCAGGTCCCGGCAAGGTCCCGGGCAGGTCCTGGCGAGATCCTGGCCAGGTCCCAGCAGGCTCCCAAGAGCACTCCAGGAGCGCTCCAAGTGGCCTCCAAGAGAGCTCAACATGGTCCGAGACGGTCCAAGAGCGATCCAAGACGCCAAAGATGGCCTCCAGACAGCCCAAAGCGCCTTCAAGACGCCCCAAGAGGCCTCCAAGAGACCTCCCAAGAGGGCCAACAAAGCAGAAATGATCGTTCCCCCTTCAGTTTTTGAATGATTTTGGCGTTCTCGCCTTTTCGGCTTACTGGCGCTCCAAGACGGCCCAAGAGGCCTCCAGGATCGCCCCAACACAGCCCAAGAAGCCTCCAAGAGAACCCCAAGACGGCCCAAGATGGCCCCAAGACAGCCCAAGAGGCGCCCAAGGGCCCCAAAGCGGTCCCAAGAGGGGCCCAAGAAGGGGACAAGGAACCGAAAAGTCCAGCCTTCAGCCCCAAGAGGCCCCCAGGAGGCCCCAAGAGGCCCCCAAGTGGCCCCAAGGGGCCCCCAAGGGCACCCCAAGAAGCCCCAAGAGGCCCCCAAGAGGCCCCAAGAGGCCCCAACACGACCCCCAAGAGGCCTCAAAACTGCCTCCCAGAGGCCCCCGAGAGGCCAACCACGAAAGCCCAGCCAACGTCCATGAGGCCTCTGACCCACCACCCAGGTACCGCCCAACGGCACCGCATTGACAGCAACACCCCGACAAACGACAGCGGCGAGGCAATATGGGCCGGCGGAACGAGCGAAGCGATCCGCCGCCCCACCGGGTACGGCGTGTGCGATCCACGGCATGGTTTTCGATTGTGCTTTGTGTAAGTCTTCTCTCCAGCGCGCTTTTCATACCTACCCCTGCCTCTGTGCCCTCGCAACCCCTCCTAGGGTCCTCCCCGCGCCTCGCTCACTCCGCCGGCCCCGGGGCCCCGGCTGCGGCCGGGGCGCCTTTTGGCCACCATTTCCGTCCCAAGACGACCCCCCCGTCACGTGGTAGCCTTCCAGACGCCGCCAGGCGCTCTCAGAGACCTCTCCAGGATCCCCCTGGGCCGGCTTTTCGGGCCTCCTGAAGCTCTCCTGGGCTCATTTTCACCCTCCTTCAGGCCACTTTGAGCCGTTTCAGATGCCTTTCCAAATCCTTTCGAGCCATATACACCAGAACACCCCAGCAAGCAAAAAAAACATAAACCGCATAAGATTTTGATGACTCTGGCCTTCTCGCACTTCTCCTTGCGCCTCTCTCGGAGCTCCCGTGCATCTGAGCTGGCTCTTGTGGCCATCTTCGAACCTGGGCATGCTCTCTACGACCGTCCTGAGAGGCTCTCGGACCCATCTTTGGCCGTCCGGCCGTCTTCTTGGCACCGTATTTCGCCCATCTGGGGCGCCCCCTCGGAGCCTCCAGGGGCTCTTCCAAGAGCCGCAAACAGACCCGGACTGATGCTTTCTCCTTCCTGTTTTCATCGTTCTTGCCACTCCTTCCGCCCCCCCATTTGTTAATTCAAGCTGTGCGCGGCCCGCTTAGCTGCGACCGGAAGCAGCCGTCCTGGCCTCAGGGTCCTGCGAAAGACAGTCCTCGACGCGCTTTCTGGGACGCACCCGACGGTTTTGTTTGTCAGTTCTTCCAGCCTCTCTACTACTACTACTACTACTACTACTACTACTACTACTACTACTACTACTACTACTACGACGACGACGACGACGACGACGACGACGAC